ATTCTGTTGCTCAAACTCTGCAATAAATCCCCTCGCAGAGCCTAAGACAACCAGCATCACGATCTCATCGGAATTACTTTCGAAAGCCTGAGCTTCAGCAGAACTGGATTTCGGTAATAAAGTTCCCTGTTCCCTTCCTGGGTTTTAACATCATATTTTTACTTCACCAGTAGTATCTACACAAGTGAGTTTTGTATTTAAAAAGTTCCATAAAAGCGAAAAACAATATTTGCAAGACCTGTCAGGGTCTCCCGCTGCGATATTGAATTTGCAGATGGGTTTTGCTCACTGTGAATAATGTGGTGAACTGTCTCGAAGTCTGACAGCATAACCCAGGCTGTACACAATGACAGGCAGGCGGTGTGAAACTCCTAGACACACTGTGGCTGAGATGTGCATCATATTTCATTATCACTCATTTTTTTTCCATGTTTTTCTTGTTTCATATCCCTGTCTTGCCTCCAGTTCTGCATCAAGTGTCACGTAAAAATCTTTCTCCAGGATCTTGCACAGAAACTCAACAGTCTGAAGGTGAGGTGTGTTTGCATCTGCCAGGAAAGACTCAGTCTTATAGATTGCGTACCGTGTATCATGTACCGTGTATCACGTAGCCTATACATGAATACATTTTACCAAACAGTGATGGAAACCCATCCTAGGGTCATTAGCAGCCATTACACTGACACTCATCACAAAACAAAACAGTTTGCATGCTGGTCTTTACTTGTCCGGTTTGCTACACCATGAAGCATCCAGTACCCTGATAAATGAAATACACTGTCAAAGTCTATATTCAGAATACGGTGCCGAGTCTGCCTGGTGCGAGCGAGTCGAGTGCTGTGGAAGGAGATGAAAGGAGCAAACTGCCAGATGAGTGTGGAGGTGAAGAAGTAGAAGGCCATCAGCAGGAATTTCAGGGTTGTCCTGAAGTTCCCCTCAGCTCCGACCGGGCTAGCAGCTGAGAGAAACAGCCTTTCTTCCTTCCTCGTTTCTTCTGTAGAAAGCCTTTGATATTCTCCTAAAGCCCAAAACAGACTGCCATTTTCTCCACCTTCCTTCACTACATTGACAGGGGCATTCAAGGTTGTGAGAAAGAGTTTGTTTTTGTTTATGAGAAAACAACAGCTTCCTACAGTAGGTAGTTTTGTTGGAGTCTCTGATTTGTGCAGTGTGTTCACAGGTAGCATTTTAGAGAAAACCTAACTATTAACTATTTCCACTAGGAAAGGTTTTTCTATCTATAAGGTGACAAAGGGCACAAGGCAGGGGTGTAACTTTGATGGGATGCCAGTCGATCACAGGATGCTCATACTCACTATAGACAATCTAGAAACACTGATTTACCCAACGACAGGAGGAAGCCTGCACAACACAGGGAGAGCATCTCCACAGACATAGATCAAGTCCCATAGATGGGATTTGAACACATTCTTGATGATGGCAAAAGCTGAACAAGGAATCTGTGGCAATGCTAAATTCAAATTAAGAAGAAGAAAACAACAAAGATCAGCTTGTAGGAATACAAACAGCATTTCTGCTGATCCTTACCCTGATGAAAATATCAGCACTGAACATGGGAAAGGGGACTTATCACATACTGCAAGAGCTGCGGGGAAATGAACTGATGAATTCCCAGAAGCATCAGCGATTGACACCCGAACACAAAGGTGAAGTAAACATAACCTTACTGACCATTGTGAAATGAGATCATGTTACTTTGCAGCTGTGGTTTTCATAGCTGTGTGATAAACCTGATTCTGTGTGATGGAGAACAGATCCACGGAACATGGAGCCTGCGGGATGGAATGGGGCAATTTTATTACTGCCCTCGGAATGTTTGAGCCAAACACCAAACGGAATATCTGAATACAAAACATCATTTCACTCGATAATGAGAAAACTGTGAAGTCACTGCTCCCAATCTCTCTCTTCTTCTAACACACACAGAAACATGCCAAAATGGGCTTCAAACTCACAAGATAATCGGTTATGGGAGATGCATAGATGATCTAAATGTTCTTTGTGGGCCATTTATCCAACAACAAAAGAACCGCATAATGCCAAAACAGGTTAATTAACTGAAAACAAATGTAAAATTTCATACTTTTTTTCAGGCCGTAGGAGTAAAATGTAGCGCAAACCCCATAACACTATTACACTGTTTCACCTTTATTGACAAGGCGCTATAATTGACTGGTCAGGCATTTAAAAGAATTTATATGGTGTTAAGCCAATTATCCAAATCCTGACAGACTGAACTCCGTAAGTTTAGACAATGAGAGCAAGTCTATAAAACAAGCCTGCAATGTGTTCAAAATGATTTAAATGAAGCACATCACACCAGAATCATGATGTACTTCAGTAGTTGTGGTGCTTATTTGCAAATTTACCTGAACTTCTATTTTTATTTCAGAGTGGAACTCCATTTTCAGGTAGAACACTCTGATGGTGCACTTAAAAGCCACCATGGATCCCACCTTCAAAGTCTCTGATGTAGGCTACGTATTTATAGCACTAATTAAGGACAAGAAATTGGACAATAATGTTCCTTCTCTTTTACATAAATTTATGAAGCTATTTTAAATGATAAACTCATGGACAAAATAGGAAACACCTGCATGAATGTTTACAATGAGAATAGTAAAATTCTCACAATTGGAGTGGACTACCGATACATATATAATGGAGAGATCTGTTTTTCTATGTGTATGCGCAAAAAAAATGAATAGGTTAAGCAGAAGATCGTCTGGAGAGTAGAAATGCACCACTTTGTGATCATAATTCAGTTTATTGCTAAGGCTGTTGTCCCCACCTTGTGGTTATATCTGGGAATGGCGGACAAAGTCAGCCGCAAGCTGTAACCATCAAACGCGGCACCTCTCACGTTCTTCTTCTGCTGTTTGTGGAAACAACCAAGGTCCGCTTAAAGACCTCGCTCAAGGGCCCAGTGGTGGTCTGCAGGCCCAGTCTGCATAATTCCCGGCACAGGCACAAAATTACTTCAAACGGGTCGCCATCACAAGCACCCCCTCCCACCTGGGCTCTCTGTTACACCCACCCGGGCCAAGGCTAGCTTCCCCAGTTGTCGGATCTGGCCTGGTGATATGATTAGTCTGCTGGCCAAGGGATTTGAACCTGAATTAAGATTCCTAACTCACTGCACTAAAAACATTTTATATCCAAGACTGTCTGGGTGGCCCCAGAAACCAGGCTGGGAAACACTGATGTAAATTGGACATGGGGTATGACTTTGTGTATTTGTGCTCTGCTATGGGCTGGCACCATGCTTGGTGTAGACCCCAGTCACCCTGACCAGGAAACATGCTTAGAAGATGAATAGAAATAATAAAAGGTGATTGGCAGCAGTTTGTTTCTGCTAAGTGTCTTGTAATATTGTCCTGGCATCAAACCACGACCAATTCTGTTATATTTGTAAATAAACTGTTCTGAGTTCGGAGAATGTTATGAGTAGTGTCTTCATTACTGATCAAAGTTGAGTTTTCATTTAGCATATCAGAAAAATAACTGTTTCACTCACTTTCCGAGGTAACCCATAGAGCTTCTAAAGGGACAGGGTCAGAAAACAATATTGCTGCCACCATGACAAAATAAAATTTGCCCACTTAGTCGTTATAAGGAGAAAAACATTTCTTGGAGGCTCAGTGGTATGTACAGTGCAGACAAAGTTTGGATATGCTAAGCCAGCAACAAAGGAGAGTGATGGTGTCACACCACATGACCTGGCCGTCGGACCTAAACACAGTAGAAATGTTTTTGGAGGAGTTAGACCTGAGATGGAAGGAAAAGCAGCCAATGAGTGCTCAGCATATATGTGGAACCTTTTTCAGGACTGCTGGAAAAGCATCCCAGGAGGCCACCTCATGATGTAGAGTAGGATCAGCCAGTCCATTGAGCATTGAGGTTAAGGGCCTTGCTCAAGGGCCCAACAGTGACATCACTCTAGTGGCCCAAGGATTTGAATTGGCATCCTTTTGAGTCCCAACCCACAGGTTGTATGTGGGACCTCTTTCAGGACAGCTGGAAAAGCATCTCTGCAGGCCACCTCATGATGTAGAGGAGTAAGGTCAACCAGCCCTGGAGCATTCAGGTTAAGGGCCTTGCTCAAGGGCCAGTGGTGACATCACTCTACTGAGGGATTTGAACTGGCAATCTTTTGCCTGTTCAAATCCCACAAAGCTGCCCGCCTTCCAACATTTTTTTTTACTTAAGTGCATAATTCCATATATGTTATTTTATAGTTTTGATGTCTTTACAATTATTCTCAAATGTGGAAAATAACAAAAAATAACCTTTCTATGGGGGGCTAGGTGTGTCCAAACTAGTAATGTTCATGTTTTTAGGCCTATTATAGTATGTAGGTTTGAATGACAATTACCTCAGAATTGCACCATAAAATTGGATCAAACTTGTCAGATATATGGGAATATTCTCAAATTGTAATGGGAATCATGATTATGGCTTATTTTAAAAATTGGAGCGAATAAATTTAGTGTCGTAAAAACCATAGTATCTGCACTATTTCAAACTATGTGCGAATAACTTGACCCCAGTCTAACACCCAGCATATTGATCAAATCATGTAAACGAGTCATTATCAGTTTGGCTCTCTCCTTTGACTTTAACATTTTTCTCCTTACAACATAGCATACCCATTATGTTATAAGGATAACAGTTTCGTTTTAGCCAGATGAGTTAGAATTACATTAAAAGGCAAACACGTACCTCGTTATAACAAAAAACGGACGAATTGTACTTTGTCATGGTGGCAATAATACGCTGCGGTACGATTCTCTCAAGCAAATATTTCGCGCGCTTCGCTGTTTTCGTCGCCTGTGCGCGGGCGCGAAGTGACGGCCATTTTGGCTCAACGCAACAGGAAAGAATTTGGTCGAATGCAGGCCTGACGGTGGATCCGAAATGGAACCTCGTCAATCTCCGTTTTCACTTCCGGGGGAGGAGTCTAGCGATATCGGAAATGACCGAAGGAACGCAGAGTAGTTTTATCTACGCTGAGGCGCGCTGAAGCTCAATATCCTAGTGCGCAGTTTGCCGAAGAAGTTTCTGCGCGTTAGTAGAGGCCCTTATTTGAATTAAAGAACGTCATCGATTTGTTTCCAGTTATTTGAGAGTACAGTACGTTTTGTGCTAGCGACGTAGCCAGGTCACTTTTGTTGTAGACGTTTAAAGTCGAGTTTTGATCATGTTTGAGGCACGTCTAGTCCAGGGTTCAATTCTGAAAAAGGTTTTGGAGGCGCTTAAGGACCTCATCACCGAAGCTTGTTGGGATGTCAGCTCGTCGGGGATCTCGCTGCAAAGCATGGACTCATCCCATGTCTCCCTGGTCCAGCTTACCCTGCGGAGTGATGGTTTCGACTCCTACCGATGTGACCGAAACCTCGCCATGGGAGTTAACTTGAGCAGGTGACTGTCCTAAATTATGAAATGGCGTACAGTAGTCATAGTCCAACCCTTTCCTTACCTTTGTAAGATAATGATTAGTCGTTATTTTAAGTGCAATTTCTGTATCTGAGTGCACGGGGTATGTTTTCTGGAACTTGGCATGAGTGAATGTATAAAGGGTTGGGCATGTCTGTACATGTCTGCACAATAACCCCGGGGCGCGGGGTACTTATAAATTAAATGCTTACCTAGTTACTTAAATCGATTAATCTATTCAAAGGCAGCCTGCGTAAATCATATTACCGTACTCAGCGATTTTTAAAATGTGCTGGTGTGGTTCGGTTTGCAGAAGAAACTCACTGTAGCATTGGATTACAGTAAATGCGAAAAAGGATAGAAATGACCTCGTGATGAAATCAAGAAATAGTGAAACAGTGGATTAGATACTGATAACTAAAATGTAAAGCTAATCCTGTGCCTCTCCTCTTTGATGGCCACGGGCCGCTACGAGCTGCAAAGAGACTTGTTGTGACGTCACTAAGGCGCCAAATCTTGAGAGTCTTAGCGCGAAATTGTAGCACAGCCTTGTGCACCCTTATAATCAACCCAGCACTGCTCAAACGATAGATGATAATGCTTTTTGATATTTCCGATTCAGTTGTCGGGCGTTATGTTTAATAACTGGTGTAATTAATTAAATTAAAATTTACTAGTATATAATAATGAGTAGCTATCCAATATTGACAACTGCACCAGCTGTCTTACAAATGAAAACCAGCGGTTGACTGGTATACTTTTTCCTTATATATATATATATATATATATAAATAAAAGAATTTCGGAATTTCCTGTATGTGTAATCTGAATGTGCGTTTCTGGATCTTTACAGCATGTCCAAGATCCTAAAATGTGCTGGTAATGAAGATATCATCACAATGCGGGCGGAGGACAATGCCGACACGCTGGCCCTGGTCTTTGAGACGCCCAGTAAGTTACTTTAAACCTTAAGCATGATGCCATGGCTTTGAGGAAACGCTGCATCCCCTAGGTAACATAAGCAACTGCCAGGATTTGTTCCCTTGATACTGTTTTTTGTTCCATGTGTGATTCATTTTTTATGGTGTAAACCAACCACGTTCTCTCTCAGACCAGGAGAAGGTGTCTGACTATGAGATGAAGCTCATGGACCTGGATGTCGAGCAGCTAGGTATTCCCGTAAGTGCAGCTCCTGTCATGCTCGTTGTGTCCCACCAAAACATTGCTGGTTCCACGTGGCTGTGGAGTGATTATCTTTTTCATTGCACTGTATATGAGTCGTCATGGTTGCACATTTGATTTTATTGCCAGATGTCTGTGATGCTGCTCCTTTAAACCCCGCCCACTGTACCATGTGACACTGACAGCTGTGAAGTGACGCGTCTCCTTCTTCTCCCCAGGAGCAGGAGTACAGCTGTGTGGTGAAGATGCCGTCGGGCGAGTTCGCCCGTATCTGCAGGGACCTGTCCCAGATCGGAGATGCAGTCATGATCTCATGTGCCAAGGACGGCGTCAAGTTCTCTGCCTCCGGAGAGCTGGGCACGGGCAACATCAAGCTCTCGCAGACCAGCAGTGTGGACAAAGAGGAGGAGGCGGTTAGTCTCCATTTAAGGGCAAAGGGATGCTGGGAGTCAAAGACCACTAACCACTACAAAGACCCTTGATCACACTCCTTTTTTGCTGACATATACTTAAGCATTTCTTGTAACTAGGTAGTATGTGGGTCTTAATTTTTGAGTCTGATTGATCTAATACTGTTCAGTGGAATCTAGATTTGGCAGCGTGGGCACAGTACTTTCACAAAAATGCTGAATATCTAGCACTTTATGACTGCCAATAAGTGGTCTTGGTAGGTGTTAAGATGGTGGTTGTCAGGATGTGCTGTGCATTTCAGAGAGCAGCAGGGCAGACTTATGTAAACGTTGCGTATTGAAGGCGGTACCCGTGCGTGAACTCCTGCATCTCCTCTCCAGGTGACGATTGAGATGAACGAGCCTGTGCAGCTCATCTTTGCCCTGAACTATCTCAACTTCTTCACCAAGGCCACACCCCTCTCCAAGACCGTGGTCCTCAGCATGTCTGCAGATATTCCCCTGGGTGCGTATCCCTGCCATGTCAGGCTACAACCCCTCACACATCAGTAGATTAAAATTCATGAGTTCATGAGCAATTGATTCCTTGATAAGTGATTTTTTCCCCAGTGTCTTAAATGTGTACAATTCAGTGCCTTAAGCCACAGTATCAGCACAATGGTCTTTGTACAAGATATCACATAGTGGTATAACACACTCATAAATCTGCTGATTAAACTTTTAAAATAGGGTCAGGTCAGTGAATTTCCTCTAAGCTTTGGCTGTACAACAGCAGATTTCCCAATGATTTTAAATGTATGTGTTTGTTGATATTGCTTATTTTATCATTTTATGTATGCAAGTGATCCATCTGGACAGAATCACCAAAGTAAACGTCTTATTTTCTTTGACAGTGGTGGAGTACAAGATCGCCGATATGGGCCATGTAAAGTATTACCTGGCACCCAAGATTGATGAGGAGGCCTCCTGATTGGTAGACCACGGAGCAATGGACCAATGAGCTTGCTTGTGGGAGGGGCCAGTTTCCTATGAAAATTTCATTTTGAATAAATCTGCTGCATTAGGAATATTGTGCCAGGAACAACCAATTTTAAGCAGAAGCAAGTTGCTCCAGCAAATGTGTGTGTGTGTGGGGGGGGCTGAGTTCATGAAATAAGTGTATTACATTAAACAGTAATTGCTCTATTATGTGGGGGGGCAGTGAACAGTAGTTTTTTTGCTGTAGTCCTGGGTGTTTTTTTTTTTCTTTTTAAACGATTTCATTTGTTCAGAAGCCCAGTCAGCCTTTTCTTTCTTTCCCTGCTTTATTCATGCTTAATGATTCAGCAGAATGTTCCCTTCTGAATTGTAGATATCGCTTTCCTGTAAATATATATTGTTTGGTCCAGTTTTACCTTTTTGTATAACTTTTATTGAAAATAAATACATGTCTATGCAGCTAAATACTGTGTCAGTTCAGTTGTTTTAGGTTGTTTGTGCTCTGGCCTGTGGAAGGTTTGCTACGACACCTGCACAGGGTTACAGGGATACAGGGATACAGGGTTACAGGGATACAGGGTTACAGGGATACAGGGATACAGGAGTGTGTCCTGACTCCAGTGCTGTCGCCCTGTTCAAAGCAAGTAGCTTGATTTTCAGCCCATAGTACTAAAGATTCTTGTCTTAATGATGAGGTTTATCTTAAGGAATCAGGACGAAAAGCCTGTTTAATTTTGCTTTAAAGTAATGCGATGGATTATGGAAAGGTATTGTGTAGCTGAGTCCCCATGCCCTAAGGTTGTGGGTTCAGATCTCAGGAATGTCTGAACCCATCATTTTCTGTTTTGCTTTGTGAAAAGCAACTGCCAGTTTTTTTTTTTAACTTATGAAAACGTTTAATGAGTCCTTACCATAGACAGATTAATAATGCTTTTTTCTTAGTTCTTACCAGTAGGTGCCACCATTTAGTCGTTAATCGAGAAACCTGTCATGAGTTCAGTGTTTTTTTTTTTCTTCCTCTACAAGCGGTTCCTCTTTTAGGATGTACCGTCCATGATTCGCAAATATTAGAATTTATTCAGGGCTATTATGAGAATAGCTAAAATGCTGATTATTTCTGCTACAACGACACCCTACATGAAGCAGAAATGCTCTCAACACAGGAGGGAAATGGTTAGCATAAGCATAATTTGGATCTAAGCTTCTAATTTAGGATGTCCAGTTGGGGGGAGAGAATTAATGGTTATGTGTAACACCTCTGGTTAACAAAGCCAGCATTCCTGTAGCCTGAATCTAAGCAGTAGGCAGGTGAATAAAAATGATCTGGATCGGAGAGCAGCAAACCCTTTGCTCTTAGTTGTATAATGAAAAGTAGATTGCATCAGATTCATTCATTCATTCATTTTCCGTTACTGCTTGTCCTATTCAGGGGTGGGGGTAGGGGTGGGGGTGGGACAGTATCCCGGAGGCTACGGGTGCAAAGCAGGGAACAACCCAGGATGCATGGGTTCATCGGATCTTTTAATCATAATGCCTTGTTTTTCATATCAACTTTTTAAAATAGATGACTCATCTAATCTGCTTTCAACTGAACTTGGTGTTCTCATTTTAGGTGATGTTTTTCATTTGACTTAATATGCTGTGTTCAACAAATTTGGATTAGGTTTTGAATCCATCCATCCATCAATCTTCCAAACTGCTTTTCTGGTATGGGGTCACAGTGTTGGCACAAGGTCGGTGACACAGGATGTCTGTCCGTGACACTGCCGCACATTGGCAGTTTGTCCATCAGTTTGTGAAACCGTTTAACCCAGTGAGATATCTATTCTTGAGTCACTGCAGTATTAGCACTGTAAGCCTGGAGCTGATCCCAGGGAGCACAGTGTATGAGGTAAGGGGCACTGGACGGAATGCCAGGCCACCGCAGGTCACACACTCTCAGTCTACGGGTAAATTAGAGATGCTTTTTTAAGAACACAGAAGATGTGGAATCAAGTCCCAACCCACTAGGCACGAGGCTACATTGCTATCCACTGAAGAGTATCGCAGCCTTGTATTATGGTCGTAAACAGTATTAAAAATACATTTATCTTTAAAATGGTTTTACAAATGGGGTGCAGATACTGCGAAGGCAGTGAAAGTACATAAAACGGTGAGGAGCGCAAACATAATGTTTTCGGTCTCCTCCCCATATGGCTGGCTTGCCGGTGTTATGCCAAAAAAGGCATCCCTGCCGTAGAATGCATGCCTGTCTCTAAATGACCGATTGGTCGCTGATCTGAAACGAGTTGAGCTACTTTGTCGAATGTCGAGTAAGGCTACCGTAGTGCTAATCAATAGCCCCAAAAAACCCGTAAAACTCTAACCCTAACCCCCAAAAGACCCAAAAAACCTCTAAAACCCTAACCCCGAAAACCCCCCTAAAACCCTAACCCCCAAAACACCCCTAAAACCCTAACCCTAACCCCTAAAAAACCCCTGACCCCCAAAATACCCTTAAAAGCTCAACTCGTCTGAACACCGGCATGCATTCTAAGGCAGGGATGCCTTTTTCGGCAGGGATGCTTCCTGTAGCGAACCGGTTCCAAAGATGTAGGCAAATTGACGGCGGCCAGTGCCCCCATCCTCACAGGGCATCAGCGAAAGGAAAACGCAAACGGGACTGTGAGAGGAAATGAAGGCGAGCCACTCTGAGAAATAATTAAGCTGTCAGCTTTGTTAGCGCTTGATTAAAAAGTGTGACATCATGTCCTTTGAGCAGGTTAGCTACTTTAGTATTTAATTAGTGAGAGGCAGATTAACGTGGAATTATGGGAGCCGGTCTCAGAGATTGACCAGGTTGCTGGCTTTTTTGCCCTGAGGTTTGAGTCGGTACGTCTTCATGCTACCTTACATAACCTTTTTGACATGCGCCGGTATGCGCATGTCGGTATGCGCATGTCGGTATGTGTTCTTCTGTTGCTTCCTTTTTATCTGTCTGTCATCCTCTAATGTTCCTCTTCCTAGCCGACCCATTAATTACAGTCGTCAATAGGAGGATTGCAGAAGACGACAGAGAGATAATCTTCTCCGGTGAGGTTATTTGTGACGTTGCTTCCTGATTAAAAAGGAGACACTTTCTTCTCGCCTTTTTAATTTTTTAGAACATTTTTCCTGTCATCTTTCCCCTTTCTAGTTAGCATAGCATTGACAATCTCCTTTAGGTGTTGAAGTCTTCATGTATGGAGCCCAGATCATATAATTGTTATATGTTTAGCCAGTCAATATACAGCTTCGCTTGTATGTGGCCATCTGCTATACTCCTGTCACAGCTGGATATGCAAAGAAAAACTCTTTTAAAGAAAATTTACTTGAGGATATATATCTTGTTGTTTTGAATGTGTAATATGAGAACCCAATGCACGTATCAGCGAAATTCTAAGAGCTACTTTTTAAAATTACATAGCATAGACTCATGGCACCACATCAAACCCATACACATTCAATGAATCCTTGTAGTGCCTCTCAGTCCCCAGGAGACCACAGGCTGAAGCCTGATTCTGGAGCTGAATTTGCTAAAAATAGACCGAGAGCTTGAGATGGACCTGCAGGCAGTTACGTACCTACAGAGGGACCGAACTTCAGGATGAAACATGTAGCTGTATTGATCATATTAGATGAAGCACGTAATTGTATTAGTCATATTGGAGGAGACTAATTAATTTACTAATTGGGTGATTTATAATTTTACACCAAATGCCAGCAGTTCCATCATAACAGACACATTTTTACAAACAAAGGTCTATAAAGATGCTCATAGAGTTCAAGCACCTAGAATTGTCTGATTTTGTGTTTGCAAGAATAAGGGTGCTGATCGTTTTTGGGCAGGGCAAGGTCAGCTAATGAGGCTCATTGTCATCCACCTTCTCCTTATTCCCGGTCGATTTCCCTCTCAGACCCTGAACCTGACTGTTTATCCAAGTCCCCAGTTTTATTGTCACATGTGTTCCGAGGAATACAGTGAAATGTTTGTTCTACAGTTGTAAGGAAGGGGCTGGTGCTTGGGGGGGGGATAGGGCGAAGAGCAGTGCAATGAAAGACATGGCAGTGCGAGAGAAAAGAGTGCAAGATCAGGACTGAGGTGCTTTACAAAGGAGGAAGGAAAGGAGGGACCAAAACTTCCCAAAAATGGAGGGGAAAAAAACCTATGGGCGTAGATCAGCTGGCGGCCCCCCCCCCTCCCCCCCCCAGGCATGCTAGGCTTATATCATACAAACAAAAAAAATGATGCTGCATTTGTTTGGTTGGTTTTTCTTTGCCCAAACTTAATTTTATATGTTCTTATTAGTTAGAGTATGGAATAGTCTTCCTGCTAGTGTAGCACAAGCTAAAACTCTGGGTTCCTTTAAATCACAGCTAGATAAGATTTTAACAACTCTGAGCTACAGTATTAGTTAAGTTCTCCCCAAATGAGCTTGATGGGCCGAATGGCCTCCTCTCGTTTGTAAATTTCTTGTGTTCTTATGTTCATGCTGATTCTGTTAGACCCACTTCACGTCTCCTCAGTAAGTCTCTGTTCCTTCTCCCTGCCTCCAGGCCATTTGATTGGCTTGCCGCCCTGTCCGGTGATGCATCTCACAGCATTGTTCTGAAAAAGTTATTTCTACATGAGCTCCCGTTCAGACTTTGTCATTCGCTCTTCTCCCCTCCGTTTGACATCCTGTCTCTCTCTTCCTTACGGACCCTCTTAGGTCTGCATGTTATTCCATCATTTCCTGTGTCTTCCTCTCCATCTGCCTCCTTGCAGATTAATTGCATCCTTGGCACTAGCAACAGTTTCCATAGCGACGAGCCCCCCAACCCTCCTGTTCCACCCGTTTAAGGTACACCGCTGGCATTCCTCTGCTTGATTCCCATCGGAAATGTACTGCATAGAAAAGACGTAATTAAGTTGTGTCTAAAGAAAATGGATTCCGTTCATATCGATGGAAGCATCTCGACCGCTGTAACTTCACTGAACAAATATTTTTATTCACTGCTTAATTCCACAATTACTGCCTTTGACCTCTGACTGAACACACAGTATGTGTGGGTGTTTCTGGTTGCTCAAAAGTGCAAGGCCGGTATTTGTGTTTCTTGGGTCTTTAAATAAAACTACATAAGAGACTTTAACTGACATCTACAGTGCACTACACCTCACTGGAGAATGATAACCAGGACTGTAGACTTATCTATTATATAATTATTGTGGTTGT